GTTTGACCAAACACTTGCATTTCTAGAAGATATTATTACTAACCATGAAATCCTCGCGCAAACTCGCAAATTGATGGAAGTAATGAAGACGCTTTAGTGGAAAATTGCATTTGGTCATGGTTTTTGGAAACTTGCGACTTTCCTACATTTTATAGAGGACGGAGTGTTGCATGAAAGGCAGAAAATATATGCACTATTTCACAATAATATTCCCTCAAAAAAGGAAAAAAAGACGAAATGACGGACCTGTTTACGTTGTACAGGAGATACAATCTGATCTTCAACCGCGGGAGTCTCTTCTTGGTGTTTCCTTCTACAAAATCAACCGTTCAATCAATATTGGTGAAGTTATATGAATAAAAAATACGTAATGTAAAAAAGAGGTAGAAGACGCACTTTTTTCGTTGTTTTTCTATGCCATTCAGGTTGAGCGGATCCTTCATATTCTTCGGAATGACTACCTGAAGTACAAAGGGAAAACTCTTAAATATATGGGAAATGAGAGCACGGCCAATCCACAAGATATGGCCACTAGAGATATTGCCTCTTGCGACGTCATAAACCCTCTATCCTCTCACCACTTCTATAAAAACAAGACCCATGAACCATCTTCATTCAATACCCGTGCTCTTAACTACTCTGCATGGACCCCACAGATTTTATTTGGCCATATAACTGATCTATTTTACTTGCAAATTCTAAGCAATCAATTGTGAATAAAAACGAGGAGATGATTTCCAGTTAGCTTCCCTTTACGAAAATTGGAAAGGACTGTGACACTAATCGCAAGGAAATTGTGTCATCATATATCCCAGGGAAAGGGACATGTTGTTGCAATTTCCTCCCAAGTGAAGGAAACATTAATAAAGATTAGTAAAAGTAATTACTTCGATAGGTTTAGATTGGGCGATGTTCGATTCCTTGGTGCTGACTGATTCGTCGCCCGATATCACTGCATTGAGGTTTAGTGGATCTTCTTTTGTGCCACCAGTCGGATACATGAATTCACCACCATAACGCCGCCGTCCACCACGAAACGTTTCTGAAAACAATGTAGAATGCTGAATTACTCGTAAATGCTGCCCAAGGTCAACAGTAATATGTGCAAAGTAGTATCTGACTTGCAGTGTGAGTAGGAATAATCACAGTCATTCGCTGAGTTAGATGGGATCAGTATTTGTCATTGACGTAGTTTCATTTGTTATTTTTAGTGATGTTATTAAGTTTGGCTTACGAATGGCGTTATGCTATGAAGAAGCATATTTTCCCTTCCATTCTATTCAGTTTATGATGAATTACTTTTTATGCCGAAACATTATACACTCCGCTGATCGTTTAACACATTCACGCCGATGGCCGCCCATATGGGCTGCCAACAACATGTGCTCCTGGGACGATGGCAGCCCATATGGGCTGCCAGCTGATAATCGCTTGCCAGGCGCTAGGAATGGACAGATAGGTGGGCAAATCTCGTAATCGAGTGTAAAATGCTTTTAAATTCCTTCACGGGGAAAGTGAATAAATGCTCTCTTTTCGTAACCACTATTTGTCGTTCTGATCGAAATCCTACTGTTATATGTTTAGATAATCTTTACGCATTGAACATTGCTGAAATTCTTTTGTAGCCCCTTCATCAAGACGCCTTCTATAAGAAGCGCGCTCGCGTTAACTAGTATACACACCTTGACAAAAAATCTTTGCCGTGCTTAGTGGAGGCTCTACAAAACCACAAATCGCATAGCAGTCAGATCCATTTGTAAAAAGAGAACAGAGACTCTTTCGCGACTCTTGTGGAACAAAATCATTTCCTAATCGTCACTTTATACATCGGACCTCTGCCATAAGTTTGCCTACGCTTTCCAATGGGAATGGTATCTGAGGAAGAAACAAGAAAAAGAAGAAACCATCTTCCTAACATCTTGGTATAAGTCACTTTCTAAAACTTCTATCTGACCCCAATCAATTTGTAAGATTTGTCCATTCATATATTTCAGTGTCCTGAACTTCGTGATTATTTGTTTCCACCATTGCTGAATGACCGACTTTGATTAGACTCTCTGGATGGATCGTCTTTAGCGACTTAGATACCACTTTCCGCCATCTCAAATAAATGACTCGAAGTTTTAAGCACTAATATGGGGTAGAAGGAACAAAAAAATGAAACGTACGCTTGTTGGAGCGAGAAGAAAAGCTTCGTCGTCCGTGTCTGCTTCCTGCTTTAGCCGATTTGCCTTCTTCTTCAGCCATCTCTAGAAAAATTCCATCCTTCATAAACAGAAGAAGAAATGTTAAGAAGAAAAACGAAACGGAAAGAAAAACAAAAACAGAAAAATCACTTCAATAAATGTAGGAACGAAAGGTTTACATATTGAACTACTGCTTAAATATGGAAGGACTACGCCTAACAAAAGGAATTCTCACTGAGGTAAATCCGACATTTACACCATTACTCACTAGCCATTCTTTTTTGAACTAAATAATCCTCAACCCGTTGTCTGAGTAAGGGACCACGCTGCAAAGCTGAAATAGCAATAAGATTCCTGGGAAACTGCTTGGGAATAACGTAGCTTGTCGCGCCATGACGCCACGTGCCAGAGATATTCGAAAATATTACCAGACCAAAATTAGAGTTTCTGTACTTGGGTCTCATCAGTAAGGGGAGGGGGGGGGGGGGCATGTGGTGCGACAGTTCATATTGCATGAAGTAATCCACTTTTTCAGGGAGGGAAGCTCCGGGGTGGGTGTAAAAGTTTAAGCGAAATGGTTCACGCACCCCGGGATTCCCTCCCCTTGCAAAAATTGGAATTTCTGTGCCGACAAAAACTGTAACACCACATGAATCGAAAGTGAGAGTTGCGTACTCAAAAAAGAAGAAGAACTGCGCAGAAATGACAGAAACATCAAACACTTCTTCTCACGCTGAAATGAGGCAACGGTAATCACAGAGGTCCGTACTTCACAGAAAAATTTCGAAATTCGTGAAGAACCGCACAGTCGGCCGTTCGATCGCAACGATCGTAACGATCGTATCGGTCGTACAGCATTGGATGCGTATCGATCGTCAGACGTGTCTGCAAATCTAACGCTGTGCGATTTCTGCGCTCGTACGACCGGCTATGAATACACCCATAAACGCGTCGATTTTTTTTCTACGTTTGCGCTCTCTTGCTTAAATAACGTCCTATGACAAATTAAGGATTCTGCGTTCATCTCTGCTGTAGTATTATCCAGGGAAGGCCGACGTCATACTTTGCGAATCGAGC